TTTTTCCATCTTCCAATCTAAATCAGATCAGAGGCCCAGAAATGAGTCTCCTATCTAGTGATTTATGGCTCTATCTGATATTGCAGGGAAAAAGCAACAGATTATTTGTTCTTCTTGAGATAAAATCTGTAGGGCTGGAGTGGGGATTACACACCAAGGCCTCAGCAGAGAGCAGAGAAAGCAGACCTGGCAAAGCTCCTGGCATTTTTCATGTGCTGTCAAAGGCTTTTGGGTTCGCATGCGGAGAGCTTTGTGGCTTGAGGCAACAAAGACTGTGGCAGGGTTCAAGCAGCCTGGTGTGAAGGAGCAAGGATGGGATAGGGAAGCACCTCAGCCCAGCCTGGAACAAATCCCCTTCCTTGGCTCCCTTGCCTCTTGCTCCAAGCACACACAGTGTTTTCGAAAAGCCCTGAGAGATTGTCTGCTGAAAAACTAGTTATGGCTGAGCCGCTCTTGTGACTGCCCACCAAGAGCTGCTTTTCCTCTGGCTGCCTTGGAGGATGGGGTGATGGATGATCTGGGACATGCTTGCTGAAATATGCTGTTGTGACCCTGGGACACATCTGGGACAGTATGGAGCTTAGCTATGAGAAGCCAGTGCAGGAGGGATGCATTTGGGCCTGAACAGCTACCTGCCCTCTGGTTCTTCCTTCTCTCCAGGGGTGTCCCATGCTAGGCAAGGCGCTGCCCTGGGGCCTAGGCTGGTCACATGCTTCTGCAGCTGAGGGGTTGGAAAGCACTGAAAATGAACATTTTCCCCTCCTCCACCTTCTCAGCCAACCTTGCATAATTTCCCCTTTAGCCTCCCTAGACAGGTTCATTACAATTCCCATCCATTAATATGTAAATATGCCCTAGAGGAAAGACAGCCTGAATTTATTAACATGAATCTTTTAACTCTTTCACTGCTGCACTTCCCTTTGTGGACAGGAGGGTGCATTCCCCATCCTGGAAAGCTGTGAGGAAGGGAGATGGCAGGAAAGGAGAACTGTAAAGTGCTCCAAGAGGATAGAAGGGAACCATGCCCCTGTGGCACTCTGGGAGGGTAAGGCTTTTCGGTAAGTGCGGACTTGCAAGTTGCTAAGACCTTGATCCTGCCTTTCATTTCTGCCAAAGGCTTCCTGCACATGCCAGGGCAAACCACTCAACCCTTTGGCCAGCCACTGGCAGCAGCCAAGGAAAGGTGGCAGTATCTTTACGCTGCAACTTCTGCCACGTGCCAAGAGTAGTGAGGATGTACCTCTGTGCTTTGTCCATCCATAGCTCCACTGGCTGACCAGGAGGATGGAGGGAGTCAAGCTCTTGGGAAAACTTCAGCATAACAAAGTCCTGGCCACTGTTCCTGCCCAGCGGCACAGAGGCAGGCACATCTGTCAGGTAGCTGAGACCTGCACTGTGAGCCAGCACATCAGGACTCCATGAGTGCACACTGGGGCCAGGAGCCAGGGGAGCAGAGCCAGGAAACCTGGAGGAGTCCAGAGGGCTTGCAGAGCTTAGCATCTTAAGAGCTGCCCACAGCAACTATTGCCCACCCAGGGGAACTTATGCTTTGGCATTTCTCTGGGCAGAAAAAACCTTGAGGTAGCCCAACAAATGGGGATCTATTGGCTGGCAAATTTACAGTCTGACTCTAATTTGGTTTTCACTGCCACAGTGAGATGAGGTGTAAATTCCTTTTTCTTAATTCAAGGTACATATTGACATTTAATCATCCAAATATGTGCCTCCTTTGACAATTCATTTCCCTTCAACCCTTTCAACAATTGCCTTTTCTGGCCAGGGCCCTATAAAAGATGATTCCTTGACTCTGCTGCAAAGGAAATGAATGTATCTTGCTCTCTCTCTTTTCTTTTGGTTGTTTGTTTTCCAGTGGGATATATTTCAGTTTGCACCATACGGATGCTCTTTGACAGGAATATTAGCTTTCACACTTCTCTGGGTTTACAAAGTCAGGCATGGAGCCATGTGGTCTTCTCCAATCTCCACCCCCTATCCCCAATCTTTTCCATACACCCTGCCCCTTCAGCCCACGTAGCTGTGCTGCTTCTTTTGACTTGTGGCTTCTGCTTTGCAAGCATTTTTGGTGACTCTCATCTTAATACCTCTATAAATAAAGTTAATTAGATTTCCTCTTGAGCTAACTGCAGTGAGGGAGATCCTTCTTCTTCTCCAGCGGTGTGTCATGGCCTTGCCTTGGTTCATTTTGGGCACTCTCGCCTTTGGGTTCAATTTCTCCACATCTGTGAGCCACCAGCCCCAGCAGAGTGCCAGCTCCAGAGGTGACCAGCCAGGAGCACAGATGTGACAATGCCTAGTGTGGGTGCACAGTGGGATTCCCAGCAGCCTGACTGGGTGCAGCTTATTTTCCAGGAAGCCAAGAACCTGCCACATCTAGATAGGGCAGCAGGAAGGGATGAAGAGTAGGGAGAGGGTTCAGTCACATGGAAATACTTGAAAATCTCCACCAGATGCACATGCACACACATCCTTCCACACTCTGCCCTGAAGTAATATCCTTCATCAGTGCTCTTGCAAACATCCAGGAACGTCAGCCCAAATGCCCCTTCCTGCACCCATGACAATACTGCCCTCCTCTCCTACCTCAGATGGGTTTGTCCCAGTCACACACTGGATGAGAAGGGGAAAAATAGGATGATGGATCTGCCTCCAAGGACATACACTTTGTGCCCTTGGTTATCCAATTTTAGCGTAAAAGCTGGAGTGAATAGTGCAGAGGGCATTTGAGACACCAGGCTAGCTCATCCTGTGCTGGTGGCCAAGAGCTGCCCAAGAGGAACAAAGAAAACAACATATTTTAACATCAGGCCTTGCACAAAACTTTTTAAGATGCTTTGATGATCCAACTTGAGTTCAAGGACTCTTGGTACGAGAGTATGATTTCCCATTAATTTGTAATCAAATTCTCAGTTTGAGATTTTTGTCTCTGGCAGCTTTCTCTACAGGAAGAAAGAATGTTTTTGGTATGTCACTGGCCACCCAGAGTCTGCTTTACTTCAGCAGAAATAGGGTTTTGCTATTCTTGTGTTTGATGCATGTTAGAATGGGGGACGATTAGCCTTCCACCCTTGTATTAGGCAACAGGCTCTAATGCACCCTGGAGGGGGGTTTATTACACAAATGGCAGCTGTGTTTCCCCCACAGCTCATCTGATTTGGCTTGGCTGGCAAAAGGTTGGCATGGCACACAAAAGCCACAGGTGCAAAGATTGGACTGACTCAGGCCGAGGGGAGAATCCAGCAACGGTCAGAGAGCAGAGTGTAAAGGATGCAGGAGTGTCACCAGCTGTAGGTCCTGCACGTGTGTGCTAGGCTGGATTCCTCCCAGGCAGGCACACACAGCAAGGTGTTACCCTGCCGTGCCTGGGTAAACAGCGACCGAGTATGCAGGGCAGGGGAGGGGAAGCCAAGCTGCCTCTCCAAGCGCTGCCCTCTGTGAAAAGCAGTGACAGGGCAGATGAGCTTGAGTAAGCATTGGGCCCCTAACCTTACACCCACCACATCCAAGTCCACATCTGGATAGCTGAACACCTTCAGGTCTCTGAAGCACACTCACCTGGGACTGGCCGGCATCAGTGTGCAGGAAATGCCCTGAGCACTGTTGCTGGCATTGTGGTTTGCGATGCTGCTTCTGTTTGAAAGCAGTCTGAAAGGGGACTTTGGGGTGAAATGATTGCTCGGTGTTTGGGTGGTGGTTATGGGGAGACCCTCCTGGGACACTTCAGGGCTGTGCATTTACTCCTTAGTCTTTTAATGGAAAATTGAATTCCTCTATGTGAGGAATGAAATCAGGCAGGGTGCTGTAGTGTTTTCAGGGCTCTGCAGCTAGCGAGATGCCGTTTTCTGACAGGGGAAGCGTGGCCGTGAAAGATGCATAGCCAGAAGGACCCAGAGGGACCCTGCAGAGCTGACAGCGGGCCCTGCTCAGTGCCCCCCGCCGCGGCAGTCCAAGCGAAACAGCAGCAAGGAGACAAAGGAAGAGGAATGTGCGCAGCGTGTGCCCGGCCT